GGGTAGCTTGTACCTGCACAGCTTCACTCGCTCGGTGGTCCGGTCTTCCCCCCCTCCCCCCCCCTCTACCCCCCTATACCCCCCCTCTCCCCCCCCTCTCCCCCCAGGCCTCCACGGAGGCTCAGCACCGCTGGTTGCAGTACCAGGATGCCGTTGCGGAGGGAGCTCGGAGACATTTCGAGCACCTCACGAACCACAACTAACAACAGCCGCACCAGCATCAGCACCAGCGAAAACAACGTAAGAACAGCACCAGGACAGGGCCCCACGCATGACACTTTTGTCACGGCGGCGCCGTACAAGGGGATGTTGAAAGGACGCGTATTCAGCCCGCTCACTGACTGACACGCTGGCCCCTGTTGTGTATGTATGTATGTATGTATGTATGTATGTATGTATGTATGTATGTATGTATGTATGTATGTATGTATGTATGTATGTATGTATGTATGTATGTATGTATGTATGTATGTATGTATGTATGTATGACGTTGATTACACTGTGGGCTGAAAAGCCGGGGGCCCAGGGCCGAAGCACAGCGCGGGGGGCGGGTGCATACGGCTGGTTAGTCTCATGCACTCCGCCCCCGGGTCAGGCCGCACGGGAAACGACGGCCGGCACGCAACAGCGCTTGTTTGGCGCTCCAACTAGACGGGATCTATGCCCGTTGGTCTCCTAACATAAACGAAGTCGCAACTGGGGGGCTCTTCCTGCCGACCGAACGAACCGAGCATCTCAGAGAGCTCGCAACCAGGACCTGGGCGACCGGGAGCCCGACGAGTCATCCCGGGCTGGGGAGGTCACCAAGCTCAAAAATCCTCACGCAATAAAAAGAGCGCAAAGAGCTCACACCACAAGACGCCAAACAGCCTCCTGAGACTACTACCCTCCTCCGCCTCTCCCTCCCTGGGCTAGTCCAGGGGAGATAGCCCCCGTCGGGGGGGATAACACCGCACAAGTCCGCGCCCTTCCACAGCACTGGGTCTAACTTGAAAAGTACTCAAACGGGAAGACCCTGCGGCAACGCAGGGCGATCAAGCCTCCGGAAACCACAGGGGGGGAGGGTAGCCAGCTCGGCGCCCCCCCAATACCGCTCTACCAAGACGGCTGGTTCCCAAGATCCTATCTCACCTAGACGCCGCAACACGAAAAACCCGGTCTCGTACCCTGAAGAACCTAGTATGTATGTATGTATGTATGTGTGTGTGTGATGCAAAGCGAGTCAAAGCTGCCGAGATTGCAGAATAGACGGGGCTGGAGCGCTCGTCGCCTAGGGGAAAACCCTCCTGCGAGCCGGTGTACGGCGGTGTACGGCGGACAGCTTAAACGTATGTGATCTCCCCCAGCGTGTTAGTGGAGGAAAATATTCCTCGAGAAGGAATGAGCCATTAGCAGCGGAGGTTGTTGAGTGGTAGTGGGTGGCTAATAGAGGGTGGCAGTGGGTGGCGGGTGTGTATGAAAGGCTGTTGTCGCTGCTACAGACCGGGGCCTCCAGCTAGTGAGGTGAGCGTGAGTTTCAGCGGCCTTTTTCAGCGGCTTTGCTGTGTATATGTAAGCATGTATGTATGTATGACTTAGATTACACTGTGTGCCGCGAGAGCCGGGGGCCGAAGCCGAAACATAGCACAAGTATGTATGTATGTATGTATGTTGGGGATAGAGGCCGGCGTTGGCGGTAGTACATTATGTGTGTTTGGTTATCTGAGCCGCGATTGCGGAAACGACGATTAGGGGGGGCGGTACCTCTCTGACATACTGTCAGTACCGCCAAACTTTACTACACCGAAGCGACAGCGCCAAGTAGTAGTAGTCACCAGCGACGTGTCACATTAGGATTTTCGAATGTGAAACACTGCAGGCGTAGCTTTGTTCTAATTGTTTGTATGTCTGAGTGTATGTCTATGAGTGTGTGTCTGAGTGTGTGTCTTTGGGTGTGTTTGGCTTGGGGTTTCGAAGGGTGGTGCTGAACGCGTGCTTCGTTGGAATTGGTGGTTCGTGCGGGTGGGCCCGTGTGGCTGGGTGGGTTGATAGTCAGGGAATAGGGGGGAGGGTAAAGGGAAGGACAAGCCAGCCCGGATAAGACAGACAGACAGACAGACAGACAGACGAATAGAAAGACAGATAGACAGACAAGTAGACAGACAGGTAGATGGTTGTCCCCGGGTGTGTCTCGTGGGGGAGCTGCATGCGGCGATGATGGTTAACGGTACTTAGTTTTCAGTTGGTTGCTGGTTGGTTGCCAACGATGAAAGTTTCGTTGTATGACGGTACCATACGTATATACGTACATACATCCGTAGGTGGATACGTACATGCATCCGTACATCCTTAGGTGGATACGTACATCCGTACATACACACACGGAGATCTCCCCCGGGGCCTGACACCAACTCTGTAACACCGGAAAGCAGCTCGGAGTACACGTCCTCCATCATGCGGATGGACAGACAGACATACAGCAGCCACGGAATGGAAAGCATGACGATACACTCGTATACATTCGAATTCACGACGAGAGCAGAGCAGAGCGGGCTTTTAATTCACATTGCAATGCATCGTGGCTGGAGGTACGGAGGGTAGTACGGCTGGTACGGCTGGCACTACCACACTCCAACTCCCCGTACTGAGGGGTAATGCCGTACTTTGGGTTATGAGGTGCTCCTGGGTTACTGTGACTAAGCGGGTAGGACAGGGAGGAGGGGTGGAGGTGGGGGGTGGGTGTGGAGGTGGGTGTGCAGCCCCTGAGGGGTGTCCGCACCAAGGCGGAGCGCGGGCAGTGCGGTAACGTATGCAGCCTGAATCCCTGGCTGCTTTTGTGCAGTGACGCACACCGGCAGCCACGGCCTTGGACGTTGGCTGGCTTTTAGGTGGAGGAGGACGGCGTTGTTGCTGTGTGAA